AAATCATCTGAGACCCGTTTCTCTCTTCCATCGGTATGGCTAATGGTAACTTCTATGAGAGCAACTCGCTACACCTTCTCTGGCTAACATTCTTGGCTGACATAAAATGGAAATACTATGTTGAATCCATAGCTAGTTTTGATGCTAAGAATGTTCGTTTATTGTGTCGTGCTAAACAATTTTTTCTCCAGAATCTATCTAATATATATATATATATATATATATATATATATATATATATATATATATATATATATATATATGCCATTCGTCCATGCTTCGAATATGGCTGCCACACATGGCCCTGTGCTCCTGCTAGTTATTTAAAGATTCTTGGTAATATCCAAAGATAAATCAGCAATATTATTCGTCATGACCTGTCTTTTCGGCTTCAGCTACTTTCCCACCAGCGCAAAGTTGCTTCTATGTCATTTCTACAAATACTTTCATGGTAAATATTCGGGTGACCTTTTCACTATGGTATCTAGACATTGTAAATTTAAGCGCAGCACTAGATTAGCAAGGTCTTATTAAATTATAGTTGGACTGGCTAGCTGTAACTGTAATTTCTATCCTAACAATTTCTTTTCTTGCATTTATCGTTTATGGAACTCTCTTCCGACTCCATGCTCTCCAGCCAACTTCAAACTTCAAGTCTTCATTAAATGCAATGCCAACCGTTATCTTCTGTGTTCTAGTTAACTCTTATATTGTTCTCGCATCTTAATAATGTTTCTATTTTCTAATTATTTCACACCCAGTAAACCCTTGTGTCTTCGTGGCTTTATGACCTCGCTTGGTGCGAAATATCATTTCAATGGCATTTCTGTGAAATCAAGAGACCACGGTTTCGACACGCATTGGGACACTACAATACAATTTTCCGTGCCAGCGATATTTTCTTCCACGATATTCTATAGCATACATTGCATGTCGTGCTAAATGAACGATTCGGGCATTGTTTCATCATATGTGATACATGTTCAATCGCGGAAAGGTCAGGTGAAGCTGCCGTCGATGAAGATGCCAAATAAACTACAGAGCATATAGATTAATACGAGTATCGTGTAGGCAGTCTAGAAGCCCATTGAATACCAGCAGAACAAAGTGTGTGACCGTGCATATCGTTGTTGAGTTTTTCCTCCACTAACACTAACAGCAAGCGAGTCTCTTATCTTATCAAACACGACACCAGGATGCCATTGGATGAGCCTACATATCGTGCAAAATATATCTCCACAGGTTAATAATACGCATGTAACACAGCATCACTTGAATGGAAGCAGATTTTTTTATTTTAATCCCTGAACAGTATAGAACGGCATTCAATCTCATAGCTGAATCTTTCATAAAACTAATTCAGAGAGCAAAATGTCTAGCTGGAATTGTGCGTTCTCATAGTCTTAATGCAAGGAAATAGTTTCCAACTTTCCTTGTTGACCCAATTGAGGATACATTTCCCCCACATTTGTACTAACGACGTTTGTAGTTTGTCATTGAGGCAATTACAAGGACATCTTTCTACTTGCCCGTTCAGATCCTGTTGTGTGGTTTTAGAAATTATCATATCCTATCGTAGCTACATTGAGTCATCGCGTTCAACATGCGCGGCAATTCTCGGAAATGACCATCCAGCCTCTCAAATGCCAAACACTGATTCCGGTTAAGAGGCTTGATTTGAATCATACTAATCACCATACCCTGACATCTGCTTACAATAGAATTTTCACCACAATGAATATTTTGACAGCAGGCGTCATTTGAAACTCGGATAAAATGTATGAATGTGATATCTGTAGCATACACATACTGTGAGTAATTCTATATCAGTATTGTATTAGTATATAGGTATTTTAATTTCACTCGTGCCTATTAACAATAAGTATCGACAGTCCAAGATCTAAAGGAATTTCGCATAGACATAAAAAAATTACAGATTATATGTATAAGGTATGTGAATATGTTGTTGATATTAAGTTAGTCTATGCTCTTGCTTCTCTAATAAAATTCGATTAAAAATTGTTCATCAATTTCCAAACTGTTACTAAGCTTTGGCAACATTAATGGTAATGTTAGGCGTTTCCCTACAAGGAAAGATCTGGCATTCATTGACCGAGCAGTCAATATTGCATTCGGTAGAAATTTATAGTCTTTCTCTTAAAATAATTATTTTAAGAAAACTCGTATCTCAAGTCCACTAGGTTTTATCGTTCTTACGGGTATTGATGGGTTACCTTCTCTTCCTACCACTTTATTTGAAATAATGTAAACATCTTGAGTAAATTATTATTTTCTCATACTATACATTTTAGTTATGGTTACTGATATTTTGGACAGGTTGTTGTTTCGAGGAGGAATAAAACGCGGTATTGTTTACGAACCTAGAAAGATATCTTAAAAGAAAAAACTGGATGAGAACTGAATGCATGTTTCATTATTTTAATCGGTTTCCCGCCACGCAAGGCGGAAAAGCCACTAAGACAAAATTGGTTACTGGGTGTGGAAGAATTAGTAACAGAAGCATTAATAATGAGACGGAAAATGACTGGAAAATATGAAGCCGGAACGGAGTTTCACAAGCGAAAATTCGAGAAAGAAAACTGTTAGCAAAGAATTATACTGTTATATCTAGCCAGCTCAACAGTAAATTGATGAGATCTCGATGCTAAACTTGCACTCCACTTAAATTTAACAAGCCTAGGCACCATAGCGAAGAGCTCATCCGAACAATTACCATGAAAGTGTTTACAGAATAGACACAGACAAGAAAACGTTACGGCGGCGTAAAAATGGCCGAAGACGAGCCGCCAGATCAGACAGGTAATATTGGTTCACTCTTTTTTGGATTTTATCAAGAAGCTAAAAGTAAATAGCAGGGGCATTGGACCATATGTTTGCTAATAAAGATAGAAGAAAATGTGGAAGGTCAACTTCATTTTCATCAGTTTAATACGCGAACGCTTGTATTAAGAAACAGAAGTGTTCCTTTGAATATGTATGCCGTTTTTAATTATGGCTGTCCCTAACTTTCCTTGTTTCTATCTGCAAATTTTTTTCGTTCCAATACAAGTTTTTCATCGCTTGCAAACTATTCCACCAAAATCGTTAGGTTAGTTTCTCATTAGTAAATGCATATTTCGCGATATTTTAGGTCTAAATGAAAAGTGTGAATTTGTATATATATATATATATATATATATATATATATATATGATGGATTCTAATTAATTAACATATAAATATATATATGTAATGAATTATTATATATATATATAATTAATTAATTAATATATATATATATATATATATATATATATATATATATATATATATATATATATATATATATTTTGCTAAAAGATGCATCTGCATTGTTGTATGTCGCTATATGTATGAACATATATCTATTAGATAACAAGTGTTGCTGTTGTTGTCGAATGACATTTGGCAGTGTTCTGGCCAACATTTGTTGACGGTAAAAAAAAGAAGCGGTAAATATTATCGTCTCTCAACTTACATTGTTCAAAATAATCGTTTGAATATGTTATGATAGACAGTGGTGAAGGCCTGCACACGCAAACGAAATAACTATTTCTAGAGTATAAGAAAGCACAACGAGTATAAATGATATAGAAATAAAATGAAACACAACCCTATAGTAGAATAGCTATTTCTGTATTAGATTATACCCTTTTTCCTTTATACAAATATAGAAAGAAGACTTCGGTATTTATTTATTTATTTATTTTTAATCATTTGCCCGCCCCTAAGTTAGGCGGGAAGGTCACTAGTACGCAGGGTGTTACAAGGCGTGAAAGTGAGTAAAACGGCATTGCATAGGGAGGATTGAGGACAGGACACAAGTTGAATGGGATTCAAGAAGACAGAAGATAGCGACTGATAGAATATGGCATTGTATTTAAATTTTGAAAGATTGTAGTTTTCAGGGAAGCAAGTAAACGGAAAAGATATCCACATGCGGCTAGTGCCAAAAAAGAAAGTGTTGCACCAGAAGTAGAGTTTGCATTTAGCTATTTCAACAGTATTACAGATGGGACCTAGATGCCAAATGAGTAGCACGCTTAAATTCATGGGAAAAAAAACTCTTCAGAGTAGCTGCCATGAAAAATTTGTAGAAAAGGCAGAGGGAAGCCACTTCGCGTCAATGAGAAAGTCACTGAATTCGAGATGCCAAGTCAGAGTCGATGACATTCTTTGGATTTTGTCAAGAACCTCGAAAGGAAAAAGAGACGTACAAAATCAGATATGGCAGCAGTATCCAATGAAACGGACTAATTTTAGATTTGTTAATTTGAATCTACCATTCGCCTGTACATTGAATACTGCTCTCATATCTGGTCAAGTATGATGAAAGGAGAGGATAAAAATCGAAGAATTTTGTGGTAAAAAAAAATTAAAAGAAAAACACTACGAAATAATAGTTTTCTTAAATCTAACGAGACGTAGAGAAAAAATAAGGAAAGGATCATTTTGTCGCCGGGTTCTGCAACAACCTCACTGTAAGGGGAACGGCAATAAACACCGACTATGAACATTTTAGATTCAGTAATTGAGGCTGATTGGAATTACCCTTTCGTAAATAGGAGCTCATTGCTTTTCATAAGGGCGATGACATCGATTTCGGTTGAATGGTATCTTGAAGCAGTGTTTTAGAAGCTTGGTAAACAGGAAATTAGTATTAACAGAAATAGTAACGGGCGTCAAAACCGAACTACACGTAGTCCCTTCTCTTAACCTTCGTCTTAAGCCAGGAATTATTTTCCTTTCTTTAAAGAAGTGTGAAATTTTCCACTCTCGGCTAACACACCTGGGTTGTTTCGCAACACGTCCCTTTCATTTGTATGTACCTTTGATGTCACTTCAAAGTAGATTTTACTACTTGTACACTTAAAAAAATAGACTTTTCTCATCAGAAGATATCGTGCTAATTCGCATCATGAAAATTGCATGGAACAGCTTGCGGTATTTAAGGAAATGTTTTAACACACAAACTCTGCAAAGAAAGAAAGAAAGAAAGAAAGAAAGAAAGAAAGAAAGAAAGAAAGAATGGAAAAAAGCTGATATAGGATTATATATATGAACAGACTGGGATAGAAATAAATAAATAAAGATAGAAAAAAAGAAAGACAGACAGACAGACATAGAGACAGACAAAAAGAAAGAAAGACTGATATAGGATTATATATAGAAAAGATGAATACATAGGAAGGAAGGAAGGCTGTTATAGGATTACATATATGAACTGATGAATGAAAAGATAGATAGATAGTAACAGGCTGTGATACTAATATACATGTGAATAGGCTCGAATACTTACATAGATGTACGCTTCTATCAGCAGAATATCTTGTACCAATTCGTATGATGAAATTTGCTTTTAACAGCTTGCAGTTTTTAATCAAATGATTTTAACACGCATGATAGATAGATAAATAGATAGATAGATAAACAGAAAAAACTGAGACAGATCGAATGAAATAGATCTTAATAGATAGATAGATAGATAGATAGATAAACAGAAAAATTGAGATCGATCGAATGAAATAAAACTTAATAGACTTACATGTAAATAGACTTAGATAGATAGATAGATAGATAGATAGATAGATAGAAAGAAGTTTTCTATTTTTACTGTCTATAACAGTGTGTCAAAATAAGTATAAATTGGTATGAGTTTCCGTTTCATAAAATTCTAATTGACGCCATAAAGTTCCTCAACAAAAATTAATTTGAACAATTGTGAATTTACAGTGGCATGGATTCATAAAAGTTTTAAACGTTCCAGACACTCAAATTTATGAGAATATTTCAGTCCCCATCTGTTTGAGTGCAACTAGGGCTCAATATATTCCTTTGTAGACAGCTCTAATAACAATAATGATTCAAGTCAATGTCAGTTATATACGGATCTATGCCGTTTCTTTCTAATGAAATACTATCCGAAGTTTGCTTCAAACTTCTGTGAATTTCATCTTAATGCAGGACAGCTGGACACATTTAATAACGAGTTACTAACATTGAATTCAGTCACGAAGGTTCAAAGTTCCATAATAGTTATCAGCACGAAATCAGTGAAGTGAGTTGGGATTTTGATTGGTTGTGTCCATTTGGCATTAATAATCATGGGAAATTATGAATCTTCATCTCTGCCAATCTTGTTTCTGGCATTACACAATGTTCAACGATTTTCAGAGTAGGATAGAGATCACTTGGTCAAATAATAAATATTTATCTGCTAAGGCAGTAGCAATAGAACAAAGCTGTAACACCCATTGCCAGACTTGACGATCTATAGTCGGAAGGCTGTACTAATGTTGAGATTTTCAACTTAAGTGCGTGTGCCGTTAGTGTTACGGTTAACGGCACCGGTAGAGAAATCAGCGAGCTGATTTCAATTCCTGGCCCAGGTAGTTCTATTCACATACGCAAAAATAGCGTTTCGTCCAGCTTTGGATTAAATAGCAATGCAGACTGTGTTCTGTAATCTTGGTTTGCGACAAGTTTCTATTGTATTTTACATCTGCATGCTTTTCTAATAGGAAGATAAAGACTTTTCATAATTGGCCGGCTTAAAGAGTGCGACCTCATCTTCGAACATTTTTTTAACGATTGCATCTAGCATGAAACAGACTGTCGCCTATAAGACTTGACTTCTATGTTCACTTTTATATTTACATAGGCTCTATCTCTGATATTGACCACTTTATCCCATAAATATAGCACATCTTAAGACTATATTTCTTCACAAACACACACACATATATATATATATATATATATATATATATATATATATATATATATATATATATATATATATAAAGGTAGAAATCCGTTGGTATAATCCAAGCGAATCCTACTAACACAATGCAGCATAGCTAGCTGGCTAGCTAGCTAGATAGATAGATAGATAGATAGATAGATTGTATGGACCTAGGAATTAGAAAACCATGGTGAGACTGGTTCAAACATCACATTGCCATAACATGACTTTATTATATCATATATCAACAATATTCTATAACCATATCTCCGACAGTGAGAACTCTTCCCCAATAAATATAGCAAATGTCAAACACAATATTGATATTTGTGTGTGTGTTAAATGTCTCTTTGTGTGTATGTGTTTGTGTGCGTGTGAAAGAGAGAGAGAGAGAGAGAGAGAGAGTCTGTAAATTTGGATGAGTATCCGAGAGAATGGTAAATATATTTTCGTCAAATTTACCTCGTAATCAAGAATTCAATTTATTCTTTCCTGATTGCCTCCCATAACATGAAGGTGTGACTAACTGAGTAAACCAATTCTTGCATGAAAGAGCCAATGGCATTGACTGCATGGTAATGTTGGTGGAGGATGAGGTCGATTTTGTCGTTCCGTTCTCTCTTTTGTTTGACTCTATATTTTTCCCTTCTGGTGACGTCTATAAGTATTTGATTCTGATGGTGACGGAACGTGACCAGTTGATGTTATCTTCGGTTTGTGATCCAAACGATTTGTTTTGAGTTTGTCCTAATATCTTCGAAGAGGGCAAACCCTGCGGTCATTTTCCTGAAGTGAGCTCACTGAATAAGTCATGACGTGGAGACCTCGACTCTTCTATTCTTGCTACAAGTCCTGACCATCAAAGACGATGCTTTGACTGTTGTCATTTTGCACGCTTTTGGGGTTGGTCACATAATATTTCCATTTGATGTTTAAGATTGAACGAAACTTTTACTGATGAAAGTGTTCTAATGTTTGGATTCTGCGACGATAGAGAATCTAGTTTTCGCAGTCATATAGCAAAGGCAAATATCTAAGCCACATTGAAAAATATTCACTCTGATATATTTCATCGATGAACCGGCCTTATTTCTGAAGGAATTACTGACCTTGTCGCTTCATTGGCAAAGCATATCAATGTAGACGTTTTACAAGTCCTTCTATATTTATCAGATGGTCACATTGTATACTTCAGTGGTGATGCATATCAGCAATATTTCTTCTTTTTTTCACATATATATATTACTTAACATTATTCGAGAATATTTCACTGATTTGTCTCAGTGCCACATATGACTTAACAAGCCCCCGGAAAAAGATGAAAATTGTTAGCATCCTTTGTGGATACTGGCAGTATCTATGAGTGTTGTGTGAAAATATGTTTGCATGAAAAAGATGAAATACTGATTATTCCTTTGATAACAGAAAATAACTTGTATGAGTTGAGATATTTTTTTAAGCACATTAATATTTTCAGCTTGCATTTGGGATTAGCCGCTCGGTACTGGCAAATATATCTCTATCTATAAAAGGCAGGATGTGTGTATGTGTGTGTGTAACGAATGCACGGCCGCAATTTTCGACTTATTTGCACCAAAATTTACATGCACATGCTCCAAGTTAGCACGAAGGCCAAGATCGAATTTGCATTTCTCAACTCCCATCGATAGTGGAAATAATCGATTTTTTCATGCTTCTACGGCAGTTTTCATGTAGTTTGCGGCCATATTGTACTGGCCAGAGTCAGAGCCAATAGCTGGCTGCCACGAATAGGCAGGAAGATTCTATTGGCCAGCGTGAGAGCCAACAGCTGACTGACAAAGTGTGAAAAATTTAAATCTGCATGGCACTTTACTCCAATTGGCTCATTCTGATTCCGCAGAACTGGGTTGGGTGTGAAAAAGTATTTATTGTTAACATTCTTTTTTCATTCGGTTTTTCCAGTTACGAGTCCTTTTTTAAAGCTGATCGTTTTGTGTTCATTTTGTTTAATTCCTTTTTCGTAACAGATTTAATGTTTAGTATAGAGCTTAGAAAAAATTTGCAATGTGAGATAGGCAAGAAATAAGGCATGTAGCAACATCAGCACGGCAAAGAGCACTCCTTTAAATGCAATAAGGGCAAAAATTTTAAGTCAAGTGATAGCGATTGCTGTATGAGTCGTACAATTTTTGAATCAAGCACGGGCAACGACGGGCCATGTTGCTAGTATTTATATATTCATTCAAACATGTGAATTTAAACATATTTCAGTTTAAATATCTGCAATAACCTTTTTAAAATTAAAAACAAATAGTATGCCATTTGAGGATTTTTCATTATATTGTAAATAAATGTACATAAATAGATAGTGACTTATTTACAGATATATAAAGATCTACATGGGTAGGGAATATGTTATAATCGTTAAAGGTTTTTTTGTTTTTTTTTTTAATGGTTGTTTTGTTAAAGATTATCAACCCTTTGTTGGTCATTTAATGCCGAAATATATTTTGGATTGACAGAATATTTTTATTGTGAGCGGACATTGCATTAACACGATTTTACAATAACAATGTTTTTTTTTTCAGATAGAAGTTATACTATTTAACCCATGTTTTTGGAGGGGATAAAAATTCATACCCTTTTCAAACAGAATGTAATAGAAAATTTTAAGCCCATTTTTAAACAGCATTGGGATTAAAATGAACTATTTTCTTCTTTTATATGCAGTATCCTTTCAGGACGCGGGCAATCATAGCTGTCCACCTCCTCTTGTCTCTTGTAGCTCTCAATAATTTTTGTCTTTTTGTTATTCCTCCCAAAAACTGTTATGCCATCCACTTGCTTAAATCCGTTAAGTATGCTATGCGTTGCTTTCCCTTGTCCCTCTTTCCCTGTATCCGCCCTGTGAGTATCAGATTTCCCAAGCCCTCCTTTCTCATTACATGGCCCAGAAAATTCCGCTGCCTCTTCCTGATATTAAGTATGAGTTTCCACTTTGCATCTTCTCCAGAACTTAATAGTTACTCGCATTTTCGATCCATAGCATCCTTAGCATCCTTCTTTAAAACCACAGAGCTCTTGCCTCGAGTCCGTTCTTCATCTCTGAGGAGATTGTTCAACATTCGCTGCCGTAAAAGACGGTAGATGTCACGTAGTAGTTCAATATTCTTTTCTTTGTTACCAACGAAATCCTCCTGTTTCGTAATACTCTGACTAGCATTTCGAATGCGTCCTTGGCCATCTCAATGCGTCTTCGGATCTCAGCGTCACACTTACCGAGCTCAATCATAGCACTTATCATATATTTAAATTTCCGCACCTGCTTGATTATAGTGTATCTGACCGGTAAATTGCATTTCGGACTCATCTTTTTGCTGAGCACCATGCATTCTGTCTTCTAGTTTATGCTTAGTCTCTTCTTCTTGCTCTTCTTCGCTACCTTCTGTTGGTTTCGAGTTTTCCATTTCGTGTCTGCTATCGGCAGTGCGTGATCTGCGTATCTTATGTTGTTAAGATCGTAGCCGCCAATGATGAATCCTGCTAGGATTTCCAGTTCTGTCAGAATTGCCTCGCTGAAATCAAAATTCTGCAAAACATTTGAGTTTTACGGTTTGCATACGTTTATTGTTGTGCGTCCAGTTATATATAGTATGTAAAGATATGTTTCTGAAAATTATGGCCGAGTTATGGTTAACAAAATTTTGGCGTTAAATATCACAAAAATACAAAAGTGTGCAGATAGAATCATTTTAATTTCGGGTGACGATATATGAAATTTGATAACATTGACTTATATGATAAAATATCAATAAATACATAATTATTATGCGTGCATTTGAATGAATTAAATTCACAATATCAGTATCGAAATGTGAATATTTATAGAA